AGAGAGAGAGAGAGAGAGAGAGAGAGAGAAATTTCAGGTGCACACTATGGTTGGCGCGCGGTTCAAGTGGTCATTTAATAAAAGTCCGGGTAAAAAGTACTCAAAACCCAAAGAAACATTTTAACCCACAGGGGCTAAGGACTTAGGCTGAGTAGCGAGAATGTGTTAGAGTTGAGCCGGAAAGCCGACAATCCGCAACCAATCTGTTATCAATGATAACAGAAGAGGATCTTTATAGGATCGGGATGACACTAGTCAAATCCTGAATCGAAATTAAAAAAAAAAAGACCTGTAACACAGCACAGGCCAATTCTCAAGACTAGCTTTTAAGTGTATGGAGAATAAACCCCCATATCACACCCCACTCAAACTTCTCTTAGCACTAAGTCTAAGTTTACCTCCAAATGGGTGGTAGTAGAATAAGGAATATTCCGGCAGCATCTCCCTTATACACGATGGATAGCCAAGGTTTTTCCTATCAAAACATAATCTAAGCCCTTGAAACTAAGAAATTTTGACAGCACTCCCTTTAGAAAAAGTACCTTTCAGAATTTATACTCAGCTCAATATAAAATCTGAAATCAATCTTTGACCTTCCAGGTCAAATTTTGTCTAATTCTCTGGATTAGTGAAAATTTAGGCCGCATCTCCTTTAGAGAAGTAGGTTTCTCAAATTTATACCAAGTGAATTCAAAGACAAAACTTGAACTCTGCCAAGACAAAACTTGAACTAACTCTTTAGGTTTGTCGAAATTTTGGCAGCAGTAGTGTCTTTCCAAAATTTGTACAAAGCTAAATACAAGTTCTAAAAACAATTCCGACTTCACAGAACCAAATTTTGTCTGACTCTCTGATTTAGCAAAAATTTGGGCACCTAAAAAAGTAGGCTTCCCATATTTTTACTAAGCCAGATACGAAACTCGGACAAAAATTGAATTTGTAAAGGCAAAAATTTGACGAACTCTTTGGATTCATAAAAAATTGGGCAACACTTCTTTTAGCGAAGTGCCTTTCCAAATTTTATACAAAGCCAAATATAAACTAAGCAGAAATTCAACTAACTCCTATGGCTCCAACACATGGTAACCATCTAAAGCAAACTACCTATCAGAGACAACTTCAACTAGACTTAATACTAGACTCATAGCCAAGCAACAAAAGCAACCAAGGTAAGTCTCTCATAAAATATCTCAAGATGTTTTCAGATAAGATAACTCATTGATGTTTCAAATGATTAACCCTTTACCCATCTTAGATATGAAATCACACTAGACCATTCTACTTAGAAACAATACCTAGTATGCCTTAGGTTATACACGAGCAGGTTGCACAACTATTACACTTCTGTTTGGGCAAGTGATTAGATCATTCTGCTTAGAAACAATCCCTAGTCACCCTGAACTGTTTAAATATCCAAAATTTAAGTAATTCTTTGACTTGTCTTCTAATATGGGCAGGGGACCGAGCCATTCTGCTTAGAAACAATGCTTGGCTTACCCAGTTTACTTCCAATTATACTCTTGACTTTGCTTCTTTTCTTAGTGATATGGCTTAAGTTGAACCATTCTACTTAGAAACAATAGTTGTCTATTCACATGCAAACATAGATAGATATTTCCAATATATACTCGTTTATACTTTTAATGTGCGTGGCTTCAGGCTAAACCATTCTGCTTAGAAACAATGCTTAGCCTTTTATCAAAATCCTCCCTCAGAATTAAACGAAAGACTGAACCATTCTGCTTATAAACAATATTCAGTTTGTCTCGAAGTCACACAAAAAAGCATGAAGTTGAACATTTTTTCCCCAACTTCAGTTAAAAACCCTAAAAAGAAACATATAGACCAAGCCATTCTGCTTAGAAACAATCCTTCGCCTCAAAACTCGGACAAACAAGCCTTCAGAAATAAACACAGCAACTAGACCATTCATCTTAGAAACAATGTCTGGTCCCTCATAAAACAGACAAGAAAACATAGCACAAGGTCATTATGCTTAGAAACAATGCCCAACCTTTTTATTGACCCGGTCAAGCGCATGCAAAACCAATTTCCTTCCACCTTCCCCAATTCCTCCCTTAATCTGATTTCAGTCAAAACAAAATGAAACTGAAATTCACACATGCATTCCTTTCAGTCAATCGGATTCAGTTCTGAAAAGAAATCAGTAATCATAGGGGAGTACATGCACACCCTTCAGACAAGCTAGAAAAATGTAGTTGATAGGGATATAGTGGGTTCACACAAGCAGCGGAGGTATACCTAAAAGTTCCCTGCCTCCAGGGCACAACCGGTGGCGTGAACCTCCCACAAAGGCCTTGGTGCGGATTACGGGATTCCAAGCCCGCCTGCCGCCTTCCTCTCGTAACCGTTTAGACTAGACTGAGAGTAAGAAGTGCAGAAAAAGAATCATTGAGTCTCTCAAATACAAAAGAGTTGCACTCAAACTTGCATGAGACGGCCCTGAAACCTCGAATTGTGAGGGCCCCACAATGGCAGCCAAGAACGCAATGAAGATTACCAAACCACGGTTAAACGCAGAATAGGACGGCCCCCTGACAGCCTCAAAGTAGCGACAGTAGCCCCCTTGCAAAGCTTAATCACCACTTTTAAGTCGCAAATTGTTCCTTATGACCAACCGCCACTACACAGCCTAGAAGGGTTGCGTTCGAATAGAGCACACCCCTTGTGCTCTATTCCAAATGTAAGCGAAAACGGTAGCAAGTTCAGCAAAACTCATTGTGACTCGCAGCAAGGCGCAGCCCAAGGCATCCTGACATTGCACAGCGCCAAACGTAGTAAGTCACCTCACTGCACAACTAAAGCTCAGCGACGTACAATACAAAACACAGCAAACACCGCATCGTGCACAACAACGCAGCGTCGTCGGATGGGGAAAAAGGGTGGGCCACTGAAATGTTGCCAAGTCCTTGACTCACCATCGAATGTCGAATTCCAAATTACAGCATCACAATAAGAATCAGATGGTCGACGTTGTCCGGAAACAGAATAGAATTGTTATCACCAACGGAGGACCGAAACAGCCAACTCAAATGTCAATGCAAGCATAAGCTTGCCACCACCACAAGTGTGAATGGATCTTTGTCCTCTCCCAGGCGCTCAGGGCCCAGATTATCGTCGCACATCAGCTCTATCCTACGAGCAGCAAAGCAATCTCCTGACACCAGTAGAAGCCAAGGTACATGCACATGTCAACTTTGCATACCACTGCCAAGACAAGGTACGTGTCCTCACAGTTGGCATCCGTACTGGAAACCAGAGTCAAACGAGCCCGCCGGAAAGTCAATAGGTCGTGCTTACACAGTTAGTATTGATGTAGACTATGGATTTGTTGTCGCACTATCTATCCTGAGTCCTTCTCATCACATTGGCGTTCCTTCAGATTGGATTCGTGCACAGCTCGTCTCCTGACGATCATGCATCATAGAACCCAAATCCTTTTCCCACATATCACAAAACCATTGTCTTCATCTCCAACCCCGAAGTGCCTGAAACTCGGCAGAGCAAAGA